CTTGTGTTTTGTTTCAGCTGCCACAAACAATACCTCTTGCCTTAAAAGTCATTAATATTGTCTGTTTCGTTAAATCCAAAGACAAATGTATTTTCTTCAGCATATATATATTTATAAATATGCTGAGGTTGCAAACCAGATCTGACCTTCTAAAAAGTCATTTGTAAGGCAAGGCTGTTTTATTTTAAAAGCACATTTTATACCCAGCTTAATGTTCCAGTTGTTGTATGCTAAAAACAAATAATTTCAAGTTAAAACAACAGAATACAAATTCAGACGATAGTCTTTTGCCAGAAATAAGTATATTTCAAAAACTATAAAAGTAATTGCATTCATCCCTTTTGTTTCTCACACTCACTCCCTCTCTCTGTCTGTCCCTCTCTTGGTTGATTGCTGTCTAGAGGCAATTTGCGATTACAACTATCAGAACCAATGGCAATAATTACTTTGTGAATATCATGTGAAAGCTCTAGTGTCTAACTTCAGTTGCTCTTGCAAAATCAATCTCTACTGCGTTGATCTTTAGTAGCAGGTCATTTGTCTTCACTGAAAGCTGCTTGGGGTTGCAGTGTTTATAATGACCCTTGTGTGTGTGGCAGGTGAGGAGGGGCGGCTGGCGTACGAGCAGCTGGACACGGTGCCGGGGGAAATCATCCGCCTTGGCACGCGGCGAGGAAACGCTGTCACCACTGCCTTCTGAGCCACCGTGCCACGTGAAAAACATCACAAAAGACATCTCAGCCTGACCTCGGAGAACAGCTACACCTCACAGGGCTGCTCAGTGACTGATCTCTTTCTCGATCTGCTTTTTGGCGCAGACTTAAGGATCTCCACACCGCCACATTAGATCACTGTTCTTGATACTGCCTCCTGTAAGGAACTAACACGACGGTCTTAACCACAGAGGACACACAACCTAAACGCCTCCTGAACGCACACTCCTCGTTCCTCCATTTTCTCCACTCTCACACACCCCTACACTCCCCCCTTTCCTCCCCCTGCTTTCTGAGCCAGGCAGACCGGTCACGCTGAATTAAACTGGAGAGCACACATTTGAGTGGACACAAAGACGCTGAAAGCTACTTTAAAGACCGTGGAAAGTCGATTTTTGAAAAATGCATCTTCACACAAGCTCAGTCAACAAACCACTGCACAACACACTTACATCACTTACTCACTGATTTATAATCATCTCGATTGTTGCACAGTCAGTTGTTTCACGCAATATACTAACCATGGTCTTTGTATAAACACTGTCTATCACAAGAGATGCTTTCTGGCGCTTTCGGGAGATGTGCACTGTTGTTAGGCATGTAGATATGGCATATTTCACACAGCACTTGTTTTCAAAGGATATTTTTGGTTCTGTTTTCTAGTACGTTCCATTTTGTGTTTCAGGGATTCTTGTACAATTGGAAGATGTGCGTTTTGTGGCAGGGATGCAATAATACGTTGAGACTGGCTTTCGAGGAAGAAGTGATTTTCTGGTTTAAAAGCCCTACCTTAACAGCAGTTTACAGTCTAAAAGGATTTTGACCGTGGGTTTATTTCAGTGGAGGGATAGTAGAAACTGAATGGGGAAACTGGTGAACACAGTGCCCACGTTTCACTCACTCAGCAGTTTATCTCAGAGATTCCTCATACTTGCAGTTGAACAAGTGCAATTTCTCTGTACATACGTGACTCTTTTGCACCTAGCTGACACAAGAAGACATTTGATAAAGTCAGCGGTGACCATTTGAGCCTTGATGTGTTCGAGCAGGCCGGTCTCCACAGAAACTCTTTTGTTAATCTAATTTCCTACCAGGTACAGAGCGACTCATACATTTACTGTACATTCTTACAGTATGTGAGGTAACGACAGGATTAGAAATGAAGCTTTTCTTCTGATAAGCTGCAGAATGAAGGGTTATGTTTTCGGTCAGTTTTATTTCCCTCCATCCCAACTGTGATGTGGGAAAACTGACCCGAGGTAAGCGCCTAACTCCACCTGTTCTCATTGTAACTGTACTACTGAGTCTTGTGCTAGTGCACGACGACAACTCACATTTGTTCACACACCTTATTTATTATTAACTTCTAATATTCTTTGGCGTTATCCTGTAAAAGTGCAGATAACATTGTTATGTATATGAAATGTATATTTATGTTCTATTTTGAATCAGGTCTAGTACTTGAAATATTGTTTATCGTTTGAAAAAGCTTCCTTGTTATTACGATGCAATTGGAGTTTATTTTGAAGGAATTATATTACATTAATTATTATTTTGAAGATTAAGATTTGCTAATAGTCTAATAATATTATAGATTTCCTTTCCCTAAAATGTCCCAAACATAATGGGAAATGATATATTAGACATTTTACTTTTTTAATTACTTAAGATTTACGTAACCAAAGGAATAATTGATTTTTAAATTATAATAAGAGCTCATAATTCATAAAGGAGAATGTATTTTTCAACATTTGGCCACAATACTCAGACTTACCTTTTTAAAAGCACAACTTCAAAATAAGACGAACACATAATATATGAATCTCGATGTTTGGTTCTAACTGCACAGCCCAAAAGCCATATTGAAAAAAAGCAAGTGGTAATATTTTTATGAAATGTATTTTTCTTTTGTATTATCTGCGAATGTGTGAAGTTGTTACTAAAAGCTGAAGATGTTTTTCTTCTATACAGCCTTTTGCAAAACAGTGTCCATATTTTAAGAGTTACTTTTATTTCTTCCATGATGTGAATAGCATTACAGTATTTTGTTAAAGTATTTTATCCATTCACTCACTCATTCATTGTTTGTTTATTTTTGAGTGAGCTACTTTCTTTTACAAACTTGCAGTTTACTAGTGTTTACTTTAAGTTGATTTATGGTTGTTCAATTCCTGTATACCACACAGTGCAAGTTGTCAAAATCTGCACATCTATTCTTATTTAGCGCCTGGTTTGAAGAATAACCTGGTCTACTTTACTGAACTCTTTATCTGTTTCTGTGCTCAACAGCTTCCTTACTCATCAATTAAGTTGCATAATACCATTCTCCATTGTGGTTAGCAGTATTTACTCTGCTCATCATACATTGCAATAAAGTTTATTTTTGCATAATTAAAACTCTGAAATGGTGGATTTTTTTAACATGTGTTAAATGTTCGACAAGACCAATGTATGTACAATTTAGCTAGCATTGTCTTATTTTACAGATGAAATATTAGGGGGAAACCATGGTCCATAGTTTAATACATAAATGAAATCCAAAAGTCGCATTTTCATTTTTACTTTGTTGATTTTTAGAGTTATTCATTTTCTGGCCCGAAAATAGGTTTAAGACAATAGAAAATAATTGGCAATGAAGATGTAGAGCAGGGGTGTCCAGACTAAGGCCCGGGGGCCAAATGCGGCCCGCGGACCATTTTGAATCGGCCCTCAGCTAATTCTAAAAGTATAATGTAATACGGCCCACAAATGAAACTTTTGCTTGTCTTATATTGTACTTCTTAAATATATATGTAAACATATATTACACAGTAGTATTCATGTGTTAATAAGCCCACTTTCAAATAAATAGTCAATTAAAGTTGGAAACATTTTCTAACATATCTTAGTTGATAAAAAAAAGGCCCAATAGCTTATTTCCCCTTATAAGCAAACTGAAGGATGAGCTGCCAACAACATAAATGAAACCCTATGTAGAGCTGTGATATAGGCTGTTTTTTTCTTAAGGCATTTTCAAGTATCAAGCATCATTTACCTACATTTGATTAATTTTGCTGACTTAAAACTTAACTTATGAGGCAATATACCTCCAGCGAGTGGCCCAGCCCTTTGTATATTTGTCTGTATGTGACCCTCGGTGAAAGAGGTTTTGACACCCCTGGTGTAGAGGCTAGGGAGGGAAGATGAAAAGACAGAAAGGAACGTAGGCAAGGGCTATCAAGAGAAGAAGGACAATTGAAATTGAGAAGACAGGAGAGAGTTAAGCAGGAGAGCGGAGAGGAGTAACTTTCTTTCCGTCCTGTCGTTCTCCACTATCCCCATGTTTCTTCCTACCAACCATCCTCTCACATCTTTACTATCCAACTCTCTACTCCCTCCAAAAAGACAAACTATTACACTCCACTGACAGACATACCCCAACCGACTCTTCCAGAGCGACAGTGTGATTCACAGTGCAGCCTTACATAAAGGTTTCTCTGCCATAACATTGCTAACAGCTCAGGGCCACAGCTGGCAGTGAATGCAATTAATTATTGGAGACAAATCAATAAGCCTTTCCTGCAACATGGTGGCAGATTGATCCGCACCATAGACAAAGCAGATTTTTCTTTGAGCGTCCACTCCGGGTGGTCAGGATTGCTCCCATACTGAAAGGCAATTCAATAACAAATGTTCTGCCCATCTGTTATTAAAAGTACAAAAAGAGTCACATCTTTATTCTAACACAAATGCTACATGTTTATCTTCCGATACCCAGTAAACTGAAGATCATTTATTCTTATATTATATATTCTGGAGTCTGAAGGCTTAACAGCCGATATCTTTCATTAGGGACTTTGACCCCCTTTAAAGCCCGTCAGTGAGGGGATATGATTTAAGAATCTTGCATCAAGGTTTCAAAATGGAACAGATGCAGTCCAAGTTTTTATCTTCTCAATGCATTTGTGTTAAGTGTTGCCTTTCTAGACCAAATGATAAGATGAAGTATATTGCTTTGTTGTACCCTGAATTAAAGGTTCAATAATACATTCAGTTCTGGTGAATTGTCGAGAGTTCACCCTTTGCAGTACTTTTATTTGAAGTGTTACAAGAGCTATGGTTTACTCAAATGATAAAACATAGAAATCAGCTAAATATACTTGCACCAAACTGCACAAGAGGCCAACCCATATAACAGTAAAACATTTAATAGTGTAGTTGGTCAATGTATACTTAACAGACGTTTAAAGCATACAACATGCAGTTGTATGCACAGACAGAAAATAAGTCAAGATCCAGAACTACAGATTCGTTTTTCCTAGAAAAAGTGTTTATTTTAACAAGGCATTACGTACAGAGCTGTGCCATAAGGATAACATTTGTACAGTGTAAACCAAAACACTTTATGGTACAGGCCACATATAATCAGGAAGGGAGCAAAATCAATAAGGCTTCACTTGTCACAGTAGGAAAAGCACAAGGGTTTCAGTCACATGGTGTCATATTGAGTTATAATGTCAAAGGAAAAGACCCCACAGGGGTTTGGGTAGTACCTAAATCCTTTCTCTAGCATCAGACAGCCGACAGCGTACCTGGTGGAGCTGCAGGGCTTTGTGTTAGTCCACCAGTTGCAACAAAGTAATCCGTGCTGCGACTTATCCAAAAACACCAACAATGGCTCTGGTCTAGTCAAGTGTCACAGTAAGCCAATGCACCTTACTGGAGACCTGCAGCACTAACGGAAAGCAGCCTTTGTTATTACTCACACCTGCGCTTCTCCTACTGTGACCTGCCAAAAAGGTCTGCTGTGTAAAAGGCCTATAATGGCTTGTTTTTTAACACAAACGTCTCAATCAAAACCAATAAAACAAGCCCCCCGCCTGTTAAAGGCGGGGGAAAAAAATGTCCACTCTCACACCCCTACACTCCCCCTGCTTTCTGAGCCAGGCAGACCGGTCACGCTGAATTAAACTGGAGCACACATTTGAGTGGACACAAAGACGCTGAAAGCTACTTTAAAGACCGTGGAAAGTAGCTTTTTGAAAAATGCATCTTCACACAAGCTCAGTCAACAAACCACTGTACAACACAAACTTCTCAATCAAAACAAGCCCCCGTCTGTTAAGGCGGAAAAATATAAAGATTGCATGCATTTAAAACTATTGCAGTTTAGAGTAAATAAATTACTTTGTAAAGCCAATTCAGTCAATGGATGGCCACTTGTTGCTTCCAAAGAAAACTTTAGCCTAAATCTGCAAACATGTATAAGCAGGTCAAAGTCCCATGACAGAAGAGCTGGGTCAGTTAATCCTGCTCTGACGGAGGTCCAGCTTCTTCATTGTCCGAGGTCTCTTCTTCATCTTCTTGGTGGTCTGAGGTCTCTTCTTCATCATGGTCTGAGGGCTCTTCTTCCACCGAGTCACTATGACTGAAATCAGAGTCGGCATCATCCTCCTCCTCATCATCATCATCTACCACATCAAGAGCAATATCCTGCAGTTCCTCCAGATTGTCTGGACTCTTCCCAGTCAGCCTCTAAAAAAGACAAGATGCAATATGTCAAATTAACATGAAAAAACATTTATTTTTTAAATTGAACCTCATCTCACTACAGCATGAAGACCCATTAATGTGGGCACCAGAGCAAGCAGTCCAGTGTGAATAGGGCTTTAAATATACTGGATATTGTGATGGTTCCATTTGATTTAAGTATAAGGAAATTGAGGGTACATTTCAAAAAATAACTTAATATAAAACCAGTTTATGTACCAGTACGGTCAGAGAATCTCACCAAACATTCGAGTATGCTTACCTCAATCATATCCGCCATGTACTGTACGTGCTGTGCCAGCGCCTGCAGCTCTTCATTTTCACACTTTAGCTGTGTTATCTGTTCCTCTTTGGCCTCAATGCATTTGTGCATCTAAAGAAAATGTAAATAAAACCATTGAGCTTGACATCATGCTTGAAATGGTTTTATTGTATGAGATACTGAGGCAACAATCCTGCAAAAACTCTAGCTGTTTATTTGCATTATGGTGAAAAACAACTTCAAAATCCACTGCCTGATGGACTGCAGCCAGTTCAGTTTGACTCAAGTCAGTGGGAGCAAGTCAATTTCCAGCTAAACATTAGCCATCTCTCAGCGATTAACTCACCTTCTTATTCTCCTGTATGACAACCTGCAAGGCCTTCCGACGCTCCTCAGCTGTCTCTTTCCAGTAGTTGGAAGGAGGAGTTTCTGCCATGAGAGAAAAGTAAGAGCAGGATATAATGAGAATCATCTGTGGTAGATGCCACAATGTGATTAAATCAAGTGCATTGATTACAAATACATACCGACGACCATAAGATCATATGCTTCACTGGTCATGCCATCTGTCGAACACTGAGTTTCTTCTGTTTGTGTAGATTTGACTTCTACCTTGACCCTCTTTGGACCTCTAGTTTGTTCTGAGCTCCACAGTTTCCGCTTGGGAATGATATTTCCAACCTAAGAGAAAATAAGGTTTTCTTTATATGATTAAATGTTACAGGGAACAATTCAATAACCAAAAGGAAACTACATTAACTTACATTGTCAGCTAAGGGTTGGAGGACCTGCAGTCTTTGCCTGGGAAGACCCATTGCCATCAGAGATGGTTTGAAAAAGCTCTGAATGACAAAAAAAAAAAAAAAAACAGGTGTTACCTTACAGCTGATTAGATCAGATAGAATGGTTAAGGGCAAGATCAAACACTTCAGATGTGTTTAGGGAAACTCAATCGAGTCACAAGGGAAAACAACATGACCCTGTTCTCATTTTCAAAGCCTGCATTCACCATGGCTTAGCATAGCTTTACTTTAGTTTCACTGTCACCATGGGAGAGGGCATAACTGAGGTGGCCTACCTACAACACTAACAACGGCAGGGCAAAAGCCGTGGGAAAGTTCATCCTCAAGACTCATTAGCGAGTAGCCAACATGCTCACTCAGTTAATGTTTGGCCACAGCCTCAAAACACTGATGGGAGTCTCATGACAATAGTTTCTGCTATGAGGGAGAGTCTGATACTACTCAGGGAGGTACAGACAAAAACTAATGGGCCAAGTTGCAGAAGCAAAGGAAACCAAGCCTTTGAAACCTTACATTTTATTGAATAAAACATTATATTGTAAGAGTCTGAGGGCATTACCTCCATTTACTCAGGGGGGTGGGGTAAAAGGATCCCCTTTTTCTGATAAATGTTATCTCGAGAACATTTCTCGTCACACCGATACTGAAATCTACCAGCTTAAAATTAGACATTCACACGTTTGAAGAGTTACCCCATTTGTACCCTACGCTTTACATTTCATAGATTTTTTAAGTAAAATGAAAACAGAACAAATGATTTGCTCACGTGTACATTCTCATCAGACTTTTGTTGTCTGTTGGTCATCTTTCCAGTGAAATTCATTTTCTTACAAGAGATCTGATGGGAAAACATGAACACGTCACGACACATGAAAACGTACAGGAGGTTACCCATATTGGAGTAACCTCCTAGCAAAACTGCCCAAAACGGCTAATTACACAACTAGAATTAATGTTTATAACTTAGTTAAGCTATACTTTAAACGCGGTATTTGTTCATGTAATGTGACCGCGTTTAAAGACACGTTTTTAAAAAATGTCGCCACCTCTAATGGAAAAGTATTTACAAAAAGGTCACCAAAGACGTTAAAACGCTAAGGAAACTAACGCGTTGCTGTTGCTGACAGAAACACTTAATACACGGTTGTTAACAATATTACATTTAGGCACTATTGTAGTAGATAAATCGCCTTACCGTTGATATGAACCACTGTGTCGTAGGTGGGGACTGCCTTTCTCTTCGCTGAGACTCCCGCGCCAGGGGCTTAAATAAGCCTACTCAGTCACGTGGTACAGCGTCACTCACGAGGAAGATTTTTTCATGCTGTTGTTTTTTAAATGTTTTATTCAATATCATATCCATGTATATCAAACATTATGTAGACACACCACATTGACATCAGGGGTGAACAGGAACATTTATATAAAAGAAACAATATAAAGAATGAAATCGAAAGAACATTTTGTCCAAACAAAAGATAACATTTCAAGTAATGTATTTATCAAAATGCACCCAGTAAATCTGAAGCAAAAACAAATAGTAAAAAGGCAACACAATTGGCACACAGGGAACACAGGACGACACCTTTATGCTTTGCAGCCAAAAATCAACAGTCAGGACAAGATAAGGAGCACCAAGGAGGAACATTTATTAACAAGGTTTAGACTAGGACACGAACAAAACACTACATTTAGTAAGTAAACATCCATCAGGATTATGTGAACACTGCCAGGTGGATGAATTTGTAGAACGTGTCATTCTGTAGCGTGGCAAATACAGTCAAGAAAGAGAAAGACAGAAATCAGGAAGCTTTAGTGGAACAACCGGATCTCAAAGAAACATTAGTCTCTGGGTCAGGTAGACTATTATATCATTTAAGACAAACAGAATGAATATAAATAATGTAATTTGAATTGTATTATTTTTTTATTTTTTTTAGGGGGGGTAGATCATTCTGGTCCACACTCCAATACAGTAGGTGGCGGTAATGCACCTTTAACGCTGGTTGCCACCCACCATACAAGCAGAAGAAGAAGAAGTAGTAATAAAACAAATAAAACATATATATATAAAGAAATAAAGAGATGTAAAACCAAAGGTAACATTTCAAGTAAAATATGTATCAAATACACATTAGGTTTTCATTGCCTCCTTATTTTTTAATATGTTTTTTAAGTGGTGCCATATTGTGGTAATTCTCATTTTAAATGTGCAACATTTTATTTAGATTCAGTCCATTTGTTCTTGTGAATGTGAAATGTTCCCGAAATAAAAGCAGAAGTAGTGGTGGTGGTGCTGTTTTCCCCCTAGTGTAGTCACATGTCAACACACGTCACATCTTTTGTAGTTGTCTGCGCAGCCATTTTGGGGGAGGCTGTGGATCGACGAGCTGCTTGTGCCATTATCAGCTGCCCAAAAAAAAAAAAACACACAAAGAAACCAAACGCAGAAACGTTGGACGACACGCCGTTAACGATGGGCCCGCCGGGAGACAGAACAGGCCACATGTCGACTGAAAGAACGGAGGACTTCAGCTGGATTGTCGATTTATCTTGACATGGCATGCAGCAGGGCGAGTCGCAGGTTGTGACGACTGAAGAAAAGAAGAGAAAGAAAACGGCAAACACCTCGAAACTTCAGACGTGAAAACTTGGGGGAGATTTTGTTTAAGCTAACGTGTATTTCTCCACGCAGCGTTAGCCGTTGATTCTCCCGTTTTATTTTGGTCGATGAAGTTGTTGACAAGACACGACGACTAGCTAAAAAAAATGCTGAGCTCAAGCAAAACCAGTTAGTCAGTTAACCCCGCAGGTCGCTTGACTTTCACAACACTGGCAGTCGCATTGAAGCTGGAGAGAAAATGTAAACGCGTAGAAAGATGACTGTACGCTAAGCTAGCCAAACCACACATAGGCCTCGATTAAGCCAATCAGTCAGAAGATAAGATGTAGCTTCATCGACGGGTCACTACTAGTTAGTGTTGGAAGTGAATGCCTAGATTAGCTTGCTAGCTCACCTTAGCTAGTGTGCTAAAAATACGCCCACATCATGACTCTCAGCAGTGGCAGCACCGCAGGCCGTGAGCTAAATGAGTGGCAGTAAAAAGTCAAGGAAATGTCAAGGCAGTAGTCTTCGATGTTACCCGGTGCCAATATCTCCTGGCATCTCTATTTACCTGCCATGTTAGTCTGTATCTTAAATCCGCCTGTAACACGCACATAACTCGACAGATAAATACACACAAAAAGATAGCCATGGATGAGGGACTTTGAAATGACCCAAATAGTAAAATATGTGTCCGCTTGCTAGTCTCTGTAGTCCTCAATTTCACTAGCAAAAAAAAAATATTGTCAGTATGGGTTTTTACGGTAGCAGCCGTTTCTGTTGATTTCAGTTACCTACTCAGAAAAGTTGCTCTTTTATCTCGTTGGAATCCCTTGTCGATGGCAGGTTGAGAAATAGCTAATTTGGCTTTAAGTCATGTCTTAAAACATGGATTTCTGAACCAGTAATATGGAGATGTAGTCTTAGTTTGTTGACCATTCCCCTCCTCAACACTGCCCTTTTACAAAAATTAAAATGACTTAGTTTTGTTTCTGATTTGTCGACCTTCTCAGTTGGTAGTTAGTGGGTATTTTACAGATCTAGCCTAGAGTTGTTTGATGCGTTGTTTCTGCAAAGGGTAGCTAGCGCCATCCTTTATCCAGCGTATGAATACAAAAGTAGAGCGTGAAGCCAAAGTTTTCTGCAAAAGAGAAGGAACTACCATCAAAATCTAACCATGGGGGACCCAACTTCACGAAGAAATCATACAAGAAATCGACTAAGAGCTCAACTTCGGAAGAAAAGGGAATCTTTGGCTGATCAGTTTGACTTCAAGATTTATATAGCCTTCGTTTTCAAAGACAAGGTTTGTCAGTAAAATTGAGGAATAGCGTTATTCTTAACTTCATCTTAAATCACACTCTTCTTTTATGACTTGTTTTATCATTACACATTTAAATGTTACAGCCAGTGTGTTTTTATCTACGTTTCTCATCACAGAAGAAGAAGTCTGCGCTTTTTGAGGTAGCTGAAGTGGTGCCGGTGATGACCAACAACTATGAAGAAAACATCCTACGAGGTGTGCGAGATTCCAGCTACTCTCTCGAGAGTTCGATAGAACTCCTGCAAAAAGATGTTGTGCAACTGCACGCCCCCCGATACCAGTCAATGCGAAGGGTAAGTCAGTCCACCATCTGAGGAGGATTTATCTTGAGTAAGAGAAAGCTTTTGTGTTTAAATTGTTCTCTCTTCTCACAGGATGTGATAGGCTGCACACAGGAGATGGACTTCATCCTTTGGCCACGCAACGACATTGAGAAGATTGTGTGTCTGCTGTTCTCCAGATGGAAGGGGGCCGATGATGAACCCTTTCGGCCCGTTCAGGTCAGATCATCTCACATTACGTGGGCAGCACATTTTTGGAGCCTGGTCTTGCTTCTAATTATGGCTGCAACTTTTTATTTATGGAATTATTACATTACTTTATCAATTAGTATGCGGATTACTTTCTAAATTTATCAGTTGATTATTTAGTTAAATACATTTCAAATGACCGTGAAATAATTCATCACATTTTCCCAAGATCTTTTGAAAGAAGAAGCTTTCTAAAGCTAGGGGGATTTTTTTCAAGCAACAATTAAAAATAATTGCCCACTGTCAAATTACAGATTTTAAGTTATACAAGTTATAACATTTAGCTGTTTTTTGGAAATGTAGTTGTAATCACTTCATTTTCACAATGTACATATTTCAAAAATAGTTAATTAAGTGAATTGCCCTAGTCTGGATGTAACAGAATGTACGTCTTGGCTCACAAGTCTCTCCTACAATTTACAGGCCAAGTTTGAATTTCATCATGGAGACTACGAGAAGCAGTGCCTGCATGCTTTGGGTCGTAAAGACAAGGCTGGAATGGTCATGAACAACCCAACTCAGTCTGTGTTTCTCTTCATGGATAGACAGCACTTACAGGTGAGTCAGTCCTCTGAAATGATAATGTTACTGATCTGACAAACCTAAACCTCAGACAGCGTCCTAACACACACACCACAAATGTTCTCTGTCCACCTCTCCTGCAGACTCCTAAAACCAAGGCCACAGTGTTCAAGCTGTGCAGCCTCTGCCTATACTTGCCCCAGGACCAGCTGACCTGCTGGGGTGTGGGAGACATCGAGGATCACCTCCGCCCATACATGCCTGACTAAGGCTTCCTGCTTCACCCAGCCTCATTTCTCTCCTGTCTAAACCTTCAGAAGCAAATAGATGTACCCATCTCCACCCGTTTATTTTAAAAGATTTGAACTTGTGCTTGGATCTCTCCTTTTTTTGTTACCTACTTGTTCTCCCCTCCCTGACCAGAAGCTGGTTCGATTCCCACCCTTGTTTTTCCTCACACCCCAAATGTTCCTCCTCTTCTCTCTGCCATTTTTTTGGATTGGTTTCTCCATTTTTTATTTTTTTTTCTCCCTTTACTCCCTTTTCATTCCCTCCTACTCACTCATCCATTTTTGTTCATTTGAACCTGCACGAACATTGATTTTGAGTGGTTGGTTGTTCTCTTGGAGCCGCTCTGTCAACAGCACCGGTCATTGAAGGAACTCTTTATGTTGCATCAAAACAGGAACAAACAATACACAGGTCTTCACGGTGGTTCTCAGATGGACGTGTTTGATATCCTTGTTGTCATAAGAAAGGATTGTTAAAGCTTGTTTGTAATGTCAATTGGGTTTCTAGAACTACTTGACACAATCTTTTGACCAAGGACAGGTGTGAAAAGGTGTTAAAACACCCGTATAAGCAAAGATGAACAATATTTGTCAAATCATATGGTGTAGGTATTGCTTCTTAAAAACTGCCTTAGTTTTTTTGCTGGACTTTTAAAAATTGTTTTGGTGTCATTTGCTTTCCTCTGAAACATGCTAGGCGGCCTTTGTTAAAATCTTGAGTGACCTGAAAGGCATTGTACACAAGTTGGTTAAATGTTGAAGGTCATTGTCAAGCCATTCATGCACCATTAATTTAAGCTACTGAAATCTGATGTTTTGTTTTATTTGGGATGTGGGTTGGTGACGAACTGAAATTGTGACATAGTTAATGTTTAACTTGCCTAACAAAAGTTGCTGGAAGCTAACAGATTTCTTTGTTTAATTTGACCTACTAAAATGAATATAATTTGCTACAATGCTCATTAAATTTGATTTTGCAGGCTTGCTTGCTAAAGAATATGAGGTTCATAGTACATATAATTTAGCTCCTTGTTGATTCAGTGTGTTCAGTTGAAAGGGTATAAGGCGTGTAACTTCTGGGTTTTTTCTGTTGATTCTCAAATCAATACTGCTGAGCATATCCCAATACAATGCAAATTCTGAAAGCATAACTCTTGTCTATTTATTTTATTGCATGTGCATGAAACATTGATAGTGTTTCCATTAGGAGTGAATCTGACCATACAGTTCTGTTGACGAAATATGTGTCACAACATGAATTAAGTTAACAGCTGAGAAGGATTTGTTAACAACATTGTGTTCACAGTCAGAGGTTGGTTGTTTTAACCATACAGATACGTGATTTACAGACAGGCACATAGGAGCAAGTTCAGCTGCCGCCGAGGTGTTTAGTGTGTCGGCCTTGTGCTATGACCTTCCCGGAGGCTTTGCTGGTGAGGTCTACTGTGGCGAACGCCAGGGTCCGTCCTTGCTTTAGAACCTGAGCAGTGATGAGTACGTCCTCTCCTATCTTGGCAGCATTCATGTATCTGTAAGACATTGACATTTGTTCCCAGTCATTTTTAGTTAACAATGTTAATCTTTAACCTATGACCTGGTTAACACACTGAAGGTCGAGGTCTGACATTACAAGCGTCTTTTAAAGCATCTTTGGGTTCAAGAAAAGCGCTGTAGAAATAAAATGTATTATTATTACAGCTGAAGGCACTGCTGTATACACAGAGATCACGCTCTCTATATTTTTCTGGGGCATTCAGGGTTTTTAAGGCACAAAGCCTAAACCTATTATTATGCCTGATATTATGAATATTATTAAACCTTAGTGAGTAACCTGAAATGAAAGAGTTATTTGGCGGAAATAAAAATCAGACTGCATACAGTTTAAATGTTGTGACCGTATAGGTCCATATAAGTCAAACGTTTAAAAATAGCACATTTAAGTGTTTAACAGCCACACATGTCAAATAAATTCAAAGAAAAACTGAAGATACAAAGCAAAAAACAAACACATCAGTAAAACAATTGCAGGACGTAATCTCAACTCAATCAAATGCCAACAGAGAGGTCTGCATCGAGGGTTCATTGCACACATTTTTTAAAACAAACATGATATGAAGTAAAAACTCTACAATCAATGTTATCTATTAAGTGATCTATTTCACAGGTAAATCTACAGGTGATACATCTTAAGAAATACACTAGAGGACTCACGTTATGTTCATATCCACACTGACTCCTGGTGATCCCCTCTCACTGTACATGATGGCCATGGTGGAGATAACATCCACCAGGGTGGCTGTCAGTCCGCCGTGCAGCGTCCCTCCTCGGTTGGTGTGCTCTTCCTCTACCCGCAAACCACACACCACCTTACCTGGGCTTGCAGACAAAACGTCCACCTGATGGAAACACAAATATAAAAGTTTCCTGTCAAGATGCAACAATGTTGATGATCATGATAGGTTGTGTTTAAAAGAAAATATCGAGGTGTCACAGAACTCTTAAAACATTCAGAAATGTAGCATAATATGCACGTTCACCTTGCTCAGGACTCTGTCAAAGCCTGGATTGTCTACCATTGCTCTCATGATTTGTTTTAACGTATTTAAAGACAGAGAAGCCATATTTAACGCGAGTATGAGACCAATGTCAAAATTGTGTTTTTACTTCAAACCGGAAGCTGTTGCGTCCGATAGATCGTCCGGGCGGAATTAAAGTTAATCTGTCAGAGAATGTTTGTTTAAATAAGTAAGTGGCACCGAGATTATCACAACATGCTGTTGTGTTAATTCCACACCGAAGATAAACTGTACTTTTGTATCTTGCTTTTATAATACAAAGAAGAGTTGTATTCTGGGATTTGTTGTAAACTACTTAGCACATTCACATTCCGGAAGACTTTAACAGGTACACCTGAGATAATTTGCAGAGTAAAACAAAACCTTCGGAAAACATTAATTTATGTCCGCAATAGTTGCTATAAAAAATGGCCTCAACATCTGCCTCGGAAAAACCCTCAGTTTCTAATGTGGAAGAAAACAGAAGTCGCCTGTGCAGTGAGTTTGCGGGCATAACAGGAGCTGATAGCGCGGTGGCTCAGTGCTACCTAGTGGAAAATCAGTGGGAGATGCAGGTACAGTAGCTATAACAACTTAAGCTACATCAGCCTGCTGTGGTTCTGCTAGATACAGACTGCTACAGATGGTGGCAACATTTTAGTTTAAATCTAACCTCAGTGCAGTTTATTTGACTGTGTAGGTAATTTGCTAAGGCTAGGTAAATGCTAACCAATGTTTCTACATTATAATGCTTTGCATGGTATGAACATGTGAAATGGAAATGTCTTAACTGTTGTCTTACAGAAAGCTATGAACTCATTCTTTGAGGCTGATTTGGAGAAAGTATTTGAAGAAGATATGTCAGACAGTGAGAGCAGCTCCAAAAGAAAGAGACAGAAAATGGAGGAAAAACCTCCAGCAGAATGGTTAGTCTCCTGTCTTCTCTCCATTAGCCGCTTTTACACCAAGTACTTTCACTGTTCGTGTAGCACGACGCTGACGTTAGCTTCCGATTCGGCAGTTAAGGGGGAAATTAAGGAAAATTAAATGTACAGTGCTGAGCGAACAATCCTCCGTGTTTGTAGGCCTACCTCTTAAATCGCTGCATAGCCGATTTATTTGGTCTAGATTATCCCAGAGATTCTAAACATTCTTTATAACACAGTTTTAGATTTGTAAACCTTTATTCTATATGTGAATATACAAAAAAGGGAGATTTCGCTGCTTTTTTCGCATCTTGACCACATTAGACCAGGTCCTGATCTAAAACCACTAGACCGAGACTCATCAAATCTGGACTGGATTATCCCAGAGGCTCAACATTCTTTATAACAAAGTTTTAGATTTGTGAAACCATAATTCTATTTGTGAAAATGCAACTGAGGGAAATTTGATTTTTCAACATTTGTATTGAGAAAGTCACTGCAGAAGTCCTCTCTCCATTTCATTTATCGTCTGCATTATCATGTCTTCTTTTTCACTTTGAAACAACAATTTCAAGAGTGCATTACCATGGTAATGCTTGCTTGAAATTGTTGTTTCAAAAGAAAACGACTGTTTTTCTTTTACTTTTCCTCTAACTGGCCACACTCGATCTCTCCTAGTGCTTCTGCCAGTTGCATACCTCCGACTTTATCTAGAGCTGTTATTGTGGCCTGTGTTAGAAGAATCATAATTCAGCCATTAGTGTGCTTGTTCTTCATTTGAGCTATATACTAAGACATTTTCATAAAAAGCTTTCTGTCAATTCTTTGTCTCATTTATCAACATATAAATCATTTTCATTTATCTGCCACTAACGCCTGCCATAATTTCAGACCCTGCTCTTCCTCTCCTTCCCACCATTTGCCCTCATCGTGTTCCTACCTTTGCAGTCCCCTGACCTCCCAAATGCCTACAGACATGATCCTCATTACCCCATTATCCATAGAGTTTATACTGTAGACCTGCACAGCAGCCCAGTCAGGAGCAACTCAGGAGATTTCGCTGCTTTTTCGCATCTACAGTATAAACTCAGTTTCAACTATTTAAGAGTGCATTACTGCACTCTTGAAATTGTTGTTTCAAAGTGAAAAAGAAGACATGATAATGCAGACGAGAAATGAAATGGAGAGACATGGATTTCTGCAGTGACTTTCTCAATACAAATGTTGAAAAATCAAATTTCCCTCAGTTGCATTTTCACAAATAGAATTAAGGTTTCACAAATCTAAAACTGTGTTATAAAGAATGTTTAGACTCTGGGATAATCTAGATTTGATGAGTCTAGGTATAGTGGTTTTAGATTAGGACCTGGTCTAATGTGGTCTAGATGCGAAAAAAGCACTGAAGTCTCCCTTTTTTGTATTTTCACAAATAGAATAAAGGTTTCTCAAATCTAAAACTGTGTTATAAAGAATGTTTAGTCTCTCTGGGATAATCTAGTCCAGATTTGATGAGTCTAGGTATAGTGGTTTTAGATTAGGACCTGGTCTAAATGCGAAAAAAAATAAAAATCTCCCTTTTTTGTATTTTCACATATAGAATAAAGGTTTTACAAATCTAAAACTGTGTTATAAAGAATGTTTAGACTCTCTGGGATAATCTAGTCCAAATAAATCGGCTATGCAGTAGGGCGGCTGTCCCGAATACAATTTTTCGGGCTCCGGATATTCGGTAGTAATCAGCAGCGAACCGCTTCACGTGTATTTCGGTGTATTCACGGCATTCATTTTGTTATTCAACAGTATTATTGTTTTATAGTTATTTGTTAATGTAACCCAATTTGTGTTCTTTGAAATTGAAAAGGATATCGCATTGTGTTTGTTACTTTTGTTGCAGTTGTATATGTCTTGTGTAATTTGGCTTGGCTTCCTATTTATGGACATGCTTTTATTTTGAAGGAGAGTACGCAGTTGACAGGAAGTTGATGCTGCATTGGAAACAACGTGACGGAGATTAACGGAGAAAAGTCATATCTGCATATAAAGACGGAGAAAGTAAACGATAACGTTTATGGTTAAGTGTTAGCAACCCCCCGAAGAGGCACAAGCTCTTACGTTGATTGGAGATTTCAATAAATTGAATTTGGAAAAAAAACGGGGGGAAAACGAAAAAACAAACAAAACGAATATCCGAATAACGAAATTGAAACCCGAATAGTACTCCAACGAACGAATATTCGGATTTTCGGGTACAGCCCTACTAAGCAGCGATTTAAGAGGTACACACACGGAGGATTGTTCGCTCAGCGCTGTACATTAAATGTCCCTTAACTTTCCCCTTAACGTTCCCCTTAACTGCCTAATCAGAAGCTCTGAATCGAAACCCAACTTCAGCGTCGTCTGTCACGAGTCTTTCTGATAGAGCCAGCAAACATTTACAACTCCAGAAGAATTGACAGTGTCTTAAAAATGTCCAGTATAGATTTGACTGGAGATAGCCCTGTCTCCACACGCAAACCATCAGAAGAAGACGACCACAAACTGTCTCTGATCTCCTGGAACGTGGATGGACTGGATACGGACAACATTATAGAGCGGGCCAGAGGCCTGTGCTCCTACTTAGCCTTGTAAGATTTTTTTTATATATATGTACACTGTTGGTCTTGGTTGTCGTAGCATGATATTGTATTTGTCGCTGGTAACCTAAACTTCTTAATTAAAATATGTTGAAATGAACGGTCAGCTGCAGAGCAGTGCCCTGGATATACATTGTTTAAATAGTTAGATAGTGTATGAACAATTAGCTTTATCTTCATGTAGATACACTCCGGACGTGGTGTTCCTTCAAGAGCTCATTCCATCTTACGTCCTGTATTTGAAGAAACGGGCTGTCAGTTACCTACTCATTGAAGGTACGGTATGAGTACTTTTTGAATTGTACTAGTAGTGACTTGTCCTAGACTTCGTTCCTGGTTTAAACTGGGGCTGTATAATACGTTATTTTTTAATCGTCAATGTGACATTAACTTGCAATACACTACAATACTGTACTTGTTTGCATTTTTAAATTCTGTTTTCTACTGATACCTTTTAAAGGTCCCATGTCATGGCCATTTCTACTGATCATAATTCCATTGTTGAGGTCTACTAGAATAGATTTATATTGGGCAATTTTCCAAACTCATATTGGTTTGCATTGGTTTGCATCTCAGTATAGTGTGTATTCACTCTGTCCTAAACGGCTTGTTGGAGCTCCTGCCCCCCCCCCCCCCCTCCTGTGAGCCCAGTGGCCGTCTGCGATACACAGCGAAACCCAGCCCGAACACACACACGCAGCCTGGCTGGGAGTTTGTGTGTGCTCACACACAGACTCATAGCCTCGCCGCGTCCCGCCGTCTCAGGGAGGAGAAATCGGCGGATTGGTCCATTTGGGTATGGGCACGTCACTGTACCCAGGAAGAAAACAATGGAAAAAGAGAAATCTCCAACGAGGCGTTCTGGGGCAGCATAGACAGGTATTTTCTGCGTTAGAGTTTTATTCGCTACAGGGTGTACTTTGAGGGTTTGTGACTTTGCAGGCCGTTTACATGCCTAAAAACCTTCATAACACACAAGGGGATGGGTAATAACCGGAAAAGCATGACATGGGACCTTTTAAGCAATACAAAAAGTGCTATGTGACGTCAGTTTAATTTATTGAAAGAGAATGCTGGTAATAGTTTCCTTTCACTTCCACACACAATTGTATTTGAGCAGTATACTGAAAGCAGCAGAGTAGACTATATATTAGCTTTTTATTGAAATTAATATTGTTATAGTGACATTGAACAATGTTATCCATATTTCCCTCAAATTGTGCTGCCATAGTCTAATGTATTGCTCCTCTTAACCTCTGCGGGTCAGGTGGTGAGGAGGGTTACTTCACTGGGATCATGCTGAAGAAGTCAAGAGTCAAATTTGTGGAGAGTGAGATAGTAACTTTCCCCACTACTCAAATGATGAGGAATCTGCTCGTAGCTCAGGTATGTGCACATATAGTTTTCCAGAAACTCGTTTGCCACCTTGAGCTCACCTTGGCTGATACAAAGTTGGATTTGTCGCATTGAATTAAGGTGACTTTCAAAGGACAGAAGCTGTGCCTGATGACTTCCCACCTGGAGAGTTGTAAAGCGCAAGCAGGGGAGCGGATGAAACAGCTGCGGGTTGCTATGCAGAGG